TGGACGGGGACTTTGAGATCCTGGGTCTCATTCATCAACGCAGCTTGGGGGACTGGTTCAGCGCCAGTAGGGTTGCTCTTTGCCATGAAGCTAGGGATCAAGACCTGCATCTCTTCGTGATACCAATCCGAGAGCGTCATTACAATCTCCTCATCGTACTGGCCGTTGAAGGGGGATGCTGGATCATGGATGATGAGCGGGCCTCTGAGACCGTCGGGATATTGACCCTGGCTGTGGGAATGGTACCAGTACGTGCCCGGTTGAGTGATCTGGCATACGGTCAATTTCATGAAGCATAACAGTTGGTGGTGAAGAAAAACATAAATTGAGACAGCAGGAGACGTACAGTGAAGTTGTACAAAAACGAGCTACCAGGTTGAATTGCACACTGCGTCACCTGGGCAGGGCCGTCCATGTGGTTGGTACCATTCATGAAGAGGCCATGGAAATGCAGCGACGTGGTCTGGTTTCCGAGTCCATTATGGGCATTGATGAGAATAGTGTCGCCGACATTGGCTTCGATGCGTGGAATGGGCCACTCGCCGTTGATGCCGATGGTAGGTCTCTCAAAAGCGCCGTCGGGATTAGCCCTCACCCATTCGATGTTGAAGTCGTACGACATCGTCCTGGCGAAGGCAGACGTCAGCAACGACAAGCTGGCGGCGAGAAAAAACAGCTGACGGCGCATTTTGGACGCCGCGATCTGTCGTTCCGAGTCCAGGCCGCTTGAGTGAGGGTTAGGGACGGAAGGCCTGGATGCGTTGTCGGCTGTTGGTAAACTACCGAGAAAAAAATCTTATCAATCAGATAAAGCCCGGTATCGGCCGAGGAGATCTGCATGGGGTTCGAATTTATGCCTCAAAGTCGGTACCCGAAGGGATTGGATGTAACTAAAGAGGTCACAGGGCCGTCCTTCATTTGTATCAGATTCAGCTGACCACCAGCAATCCAGCCGCCGAACCCAGCTTCAAGTTGAGAATACAGCGCGATGAGGGGTTGATCATCTGCTACAAGCAAGCTAGCTAACCACCACGAGACCTAATTGCCATCACAATATTCGTTTCTAACAGTTCAAATACTTGGTGGAATCAAGTGGGGTTGATCCAGCCCCCATCACCCAAGGGTTTGTCCAAAGGCGGCTACCGTCACATCACGGCCGCAAATTTTAATTCAATAAGTGGACAGGCGTCGGAGCTTTTCGGCCCTCTTCTGGTTTATCTGATCTGATCTCTTGTCTCATTTCATCCCATCTCATCTGATCTTGTAGTTCTTTATCATCACCAGACGGTGTGTGAGAGTGGGAGAGAGAGACTGCTCGCTATCCCCCCACCACCTCCACGATGGGGCTCGAACTGTTTTCCGTCCCCGTCTTCGTTGTCGTCTTCCGCGAGACGCTTGAGTCTGCCATCATTGTCTCCGTCTTGCTCGCCTTTCTGAAACAGACCCTCGATGGAGAACAGGACCAGAAGCTATACAAAGCCCTGCGCGCTCAGGTATGGCTGGGTACAGCCGTCGGCTTGGCGATATGCCTCATCGGCTCGGGCGTGATCATCGGCATCTTCTATCTACTTGGAACCGACACCTGGGCAGACCATGAATACTACTACGAGGCAATTTTCTCCCTCATTTCCTCCGTCATTATCACCATCATGGGCGGCGCCCTGCTACGTGTGGGCAACATGCAGGAAAAGTGGCAAGCTAAGCTGGCTAAAGCTGTCGAGTCCCCCGCGCGGGCTCGCAGCAGCCAGGCCTGGCTTGTTCACTTTTTCGAGAAGTATGCCATGTTTGCATTACCTTTCGTTACGGTGCTTCGTGAGGGTATCGAGGGCATTGTCTTCGTCGCGGGCGTGTCATTCTCTGCCCCAGTGACTGCTGTCCCTCTGCCTGTTTTCTTTGGGCTTCTCTCCGGGGCCTTAGTTGGCTATGGTCTCTACCGGTAAGTCCCCATTACCCTTTGAAGAGGAAGTAGAAACTTCTGATGACAATGTATTCACTTTGTACGCAGGGGAGGTTCGTCAGCAAAACTCCAAGTCTTTTTGGTAGCTTCGACCTGTCTTCTCTATCTCGTTGCTGCGGGCCTCTTTTCACGAGGCGTCTGGCTCATCGAGCAACAGCAATGGAACAAGGTCGTCGGCGGCGATGCCGCTGAGCTCGGCGACGGTCCAGGTTCATACGACATTGACCGCAGCATGTGGCACGTCAATGTAAGTCTCCCGCTCATCCCTCTCTGCTGCCATCGGCCAGTTTCATTTTTAACACGCAAGAGCAGTGCTGCAACCCTCAACTCAACGGGGGTGGCCCCTGGGCCATCCTCAATGCCATCTTTGGGTGGAACAACTCGGCAACATATGGATCTGTGCTTGCGTACAATGCGTATTGGCTTATCGTCATTGGCCAATTCAGCGCAATGCGATTCAAGGAAGATCACGGTCACTGGCCGCTGATGAAGGCCAAATCCTCTGCCGAGGACGAGCAGGATCTCGTTGCGCAGGCAGAGTAGCAGACGAGGAATGCTCAAATGAGCGACAGACATGTGACGTCTTAAGAGTCGAGACTCGCCCCATAACATAAGTTCACAGAGCGCAATTGCTTGTCAATTGCTCCGGCATGAGATACATGAGACAGAATATTAGCATCGAAAGGAGTTATTGCTTTATCAAAGAAAGAAACTTAAACAAACGAAAGCCTGCAACTTGCTCTGGGCGTCTTGCACCCCTTTGCATATTATGAAAACAACCTTGCTCACCAAACATCCATATGTACACTAAAACAACATAAGATCGCTTGTCAACATATCAGCTCTATCATGCATCGCGTTCTTTTCCCATGGCCAGTCGATCATCGACACAGCGATCGATCGAGCAGCTCGCTCGAGGGCCTCCAACGTAGCAAACATCATGTCATGAAATGTCTAACCTCAAAACAAGGGTCGACAGATGCCATGCTCCCTCCACTCTGACATGACAGTCCTTCCAGGGGTATTTTGCCATTCGCCATATACTCAACTTATGCATCAGTCTTGGTCCTCTTTTTGGGGCGCCCGGAAGCACGGGCAACCCCGCGCTTCAACTTCTTTGTCGACGTCTCTGACGCTGACTCATTGTCGGCTTCAAATTTCAGAAGCTCTTCTGGCGCTATAAGGTTGAGTTTGCTCTTATTTTCCCACGTGCAATCGCTAGGGCGATATCCAACCCATTGCACCTGGTACATAGGCTCCCTGGCTCGAGGTTTGGGCGGCCCCCGCTTAAGCACCCGAAAGACGTGGTATTCACTCAGATCTGTCGCTTTATCGCGCCCGCCCACGCCATCCCAGTACTTGTAGACGAGGATAGGTACTTGGTTTTGAAGACTCCATTCCGGCTCCCAAGTTTCCTCGCCGTTCGCCCACTTGACCAGAATATCGACAGTGGAGGTGGGTTCATCCACGCGATGAGTCTCAAACGACTCAATCTCCACTTCGCCGAGATCTTGTGGTTGATCGATATTTCGCGATTCGCCGGTTTCGGCTGAGACTGAGGCCGAGGCCGATGCTGGAGCAGGCTCTTCTTGTTGAACCACCGCGGTCACATTATTGGCTGTTTCTGGAGGTTGCATCTGGAGGGTTTGAGGATCGATTGATTCCTCTTTTGGGGAGAGGGCTCGCTTTAAAAGTTCGTTCCCGGGTAGGGTAGAGAGAACCGTCGCGTCAGTATGCCGCTCGTAGTTTCGATCGATGTCAATGTCGCGAATGATATCTCGACCAATGCTGCTATCTCTCGTAGGCGTCATGATCCTGCTCGCGGATGGGGTATTATGACCTGCATTCTTCTTTTTCGCTTTCGGGGGCGATGCGGGAATGTCGTACACATCTAGGGAAATGAGAAATTACTGTGAGCACGTTGTTGTTCGTGGTGGTCTCAACGCTTACGACCCTCAGCCGCAAGCTGGGTCGGAGGATGCGCATACCTGAAAGCCCTGATGAGGGGAACATGAGGGAGCTCAGGTGGGAGCTCATGGCAGTGAAGTTAACCAATTCTAGAAACAAATACTGAAACGCAATAGCAGCGCGAAAGATGATTATTTGCAGAGTGATGGGTTGCGCAAACTGATAAGAATGATGACAAGCTGAACGCGGTCCTTTAGCCGGCTATACGCGTCGCCATTCATCATTTGGCACTGCCACAGCACTTCCGCCACAGCGGATATCCCACGGCGGTTAGCCACACATGGTCTCCAAGCATCCATGAGATGATTTCCTCCGACGATAGTTATGCCGACTTCAGATGATTTGGTTTCCATCAGAAGCAACATTTTCAAGATAGGATTAATTGCTTATGCTAACTTACGTGTTTTCCCTGTCTGAGAGTATCCAGGTCTGGGGCTTCATACCCGCCCTATGGAAACTCAGCGCTAGAGCCAAGATGCGAGCCCGAGAGTGGTTTTAGACAACCATGTACAAGGCTCCTAGGTCCTCTGTGTTTCGTGCAGACGACAATATCCGAAGGCAATGTCAAATCTAATATATCGTACCCTGCTCAGACTTACACAGTTAATACTAAAAACAATCCTTTGTTATTTTTAGGTATTTTGCCTAAAATCACTTTGTAGCATGAAGTGGTAAATGCCCTACCCTGGAGAAAAGGGGTGGCTGACTCTTGTGGTCCTGACTCATTTTTAGATGAGTAGTCGCGTCTTCAGATGTTCGGACTGCGAATTGCTTTTAGATGGGATATCCAAATGTTTCGGCAGCGGCAACCAAGCTGGTGCTTTTATAGGGAGAAAAATATGCCGAACCCAAGCTTTCAATGTGGTCAACTGGGTTTTGACCATGATATGTACCTAGGTAAGTAATTGAGGTGGATATTCCCAAGATCGTGTTTCCCGAACTTGCCAACATAGCTCGTTAGGATATAGAAACCCCCCGGGCCAAAAAAAATTCTACCAAAAAAAGTATAGAGCGAAAATGGTATAATCTCAAGTTATTGCCTATGACAAGAAATAAACAAAAGAGGAAAAAAATTGGGCTCCGCCGGGGTTTGAACCCGGGGCCTCGTGCAGCTGAGAAATCCCAAAGCACGAATCATACCACTAGACCACGAAGCCTGTTGTAACTTGTTGAACAACATGGTCCGGTTTTAATATATAAGCAAAAGAAATAGTAGAGGCTAGTAAGACCGACTGGGCGGAGTCGTAATTCGAAACTATCTCGACTCGCAATCTATATGACGGCCCCCGTGGGTTCATAAGTTATTCTACCCATACTATGAGACCCAACAGCCCCTTTCAGAGCAATACATGCCAATATCCTCCCTGCCTCCATGTCTTAGGTCCCATCACCACTTGTCATTGTCTCACATTCTGCCCAGCCACACCGCCCCTGCATACTTCAGTGTGCATGTTGCAGTTCGCTCAGGCGGTGGCATTTTTTTTATTTCATCTATCGCTAGCTCATCTAGCTGTTTGTTGCTATATTGATTTGTTAAGAATATAGTCCTACCTCCCTCCATCCGATCCTGCTCACCGTGATGAGCGAAGACGACATCTCTGTAGAACGACTGGATTTACTGGATCCAAGCCCCCACTCCTCTGACCCAGACGCCCAACAGGAGGCTCCGCGATCGACCCAAACCAAAGTCCAGAAATGGCTTAAGGAGAAGGAAGCTGATCTAGTTCGACGAGTACTCGATTGGAAGGGACATACCTTGAAAGATTTTGGCAAGCTGATGATGGTCGATACAATCCCAATCTTTACATCACATCAGCCCGACTTCAGGCTGGTATGGTCATTGCAGGCATATGCCATGGTTACTTAGAATGTTGACCTCTTTTAACGATATAGTTTCGTGTATATCTTTTTGAGAAGATGCTACTGTGTGCGAAAGAGAAGAAATACTGTTTTGAAGAACTGGATGGGAGAGGCTGCGCCGTCTGGATCGAAGATTCGCCCCATCACGAAACTGCCACGGAGTGCGAATCTATGGATTCAGTTCTTCTGTTGCAAGGAAGAATATTCGGTGATACAATCACTGATGTCGTTGGATTTACGACGAATGGTGGGCACCCATCTCTCCACTCCCTGTTCCTTGATGGTGGTTTCGCTCCGACCCTCTGACTTCTGTAATAGAAACGTACGTTGTTGAAATATTTTGGCGGGATGAGAAAAGGAACATCAATTACTTCTCCATGCATTTCGAATCGGAAGAAGAAATGAGCAATTGGACCATTGCAATGACACATTTGAAGGATAATAACACTCCCAGAAGGACTTCTGTGCCTGAGAAAAGAAGGACGGTCTAGAATGTATTACAGACTGGCTTGGGGATTTGGGGAAAGAAAAAGGATTAAATTTATGTGCTTTAATGAGCAGTATCTAGGGTTAAACAGAACTTGATAATCTAGCGGAGAATAAAAACTCGTGAACCTATGTAATCCTGTTCTACGGTGAGAGTCAGCCTCAAACTGGGAAGGGAGGGGGCTTATAAAGGCCGCCTGGTTCCTGATTTCCTCGAAAATTTAGGGAATCTAGCGCTTGTTATTGACAGATGTAAGAAACATACGTCCATATACCCACGTAGACGGCGTCTTAGTAATTACTTACGAGAGGATAATTTCAATGAGACGCAGTCTCTCCCCAAGATTGAACAGCAAATAATTCAACCCCAGTACAGATGGCAAAACAGCCCCCCATCATCACATGTTGCACTGAGAAAGAGAAAGAGATGACTGGACTTACCGAACCGATATATGATCGATTTCATGTAAGAAGCATCCCATATCGAGTCGGTACCGGTTCTCCCTAGAGCTGTAACATCGGCTCGACTGCCACTCTAGGGGTTATGGTCTTGGCACACTCGCACGTCATGCCCGCCATGGCCAACAGCCGTTAGGCTGGGCCGAAAGGCAACCCAGTAGGTTATGTAAGTCGGGCAAGGCCAATTAAAAACTTGATGTGGAATGCTTGGAACTTGTGATATTTTGGATCTAGGATACGGTTAGTGACAGTTGTTGCAGTATCACGGGTTTACGGTCAGCCATGTTGATATTGGGAAGCATCGGGCCACCTATGAAGGAAAAAGTAGTATGGATAGGTAGTGCTCGTCTGATATGATGAAAGTCGCCTGCAGCCTGATGCAATCACCCCATAACCCAGTTGGGGGGTCCAAAAAAGCTTTTCAACTCCCCGTGCGTGAAAAGTGCCTGCAGATTATCCTTGTGCCGTGCCTAAGGTTGGGGCATGACGGGAAAGATGAATATACACGGAGCCCAATTAAGTCAAAGACTTTGTCACGCCTGAGTGTTTTACCTGTATTTTCAGATCCAACAGGGAGGAAGAATAACAGCAACGGAGAAACGGAATAGAGATCTACAAGTTTGACCACCATCTAACTTGAGTGCAATTGCTCTCACATCACATCATCATTGCGGCGACCTAAGCATATTCAATAGCTGAAAAGTCTGCCAGCGTGATGTGAGGATGCGTGGGATGCTTGGAACGCCAGCCATCGAAAAGACATCAGCTACTCATACATGATGGAGCAACTAACCAACGTTAGATATTTGATGGTGGGACCGCATCGCACTGGAAGCGGAAGGTGAAGCAAACCATTAGCAAGATTTACAGGGCCTGCGGGCTTTAAAACTAGCATCCCGGGAGCCGCATGGCAGATTTGCCGTGGGATCGGCTCTGATTGGCTCTGAAAGGCGCTGTAACTGGAGCTGGAGCGATCACCTCAGATCGCGTCATCGACCCTGTCGGCTCTTGGCCTGAAGCCATGACACATCGCTACCCACGTTTGCAAAGGCCCTTTTCGAAGACACGCAAAGACACATGTAGGCAGACGCTCTAATTGAGAGAGAAAGCATCTGAGACTCCTCGCAAAACCGCAGCTTCCCGCAGTCGCCACTGGGGCCCTCCAGCCCGAAGCGGTTCCTATTCGGCCTTTTCTCCACTCGTGCTCTCTGTCGCGAAGAGCCCCAAGGATGACACAATGGAGCTTTTACAGTAGTGCTCCCCCGGGCCCAGGCCCGACCCGTCCACAGAGCTTCTGGCTCACTTCTAGCCCTTCGGTGTACCTGGATCTTGACTCCTGTTAGGTTTGGGTTAAAAAAAAAAGAAGAAAGAAAAAAGCAGGGGCGCCACTCGGATGGGGCCGTTTACGTTTCTGTTCCCACGCACTGGCAAGTGTTATAAGGCCTTGGGGAACCCAGCATTCTGGAAACATCTCAGGATGCGGTCTTTCTTCTCTGAGTCTTCCCTTGTACTTTTTTATTTCCTCATTTTGTTGGCTTAGATTATTTCTCTGCAGTATTAGTTCTCTCATATTGCCTGCCATTGACCATGTCTCGCGATGGCGACCCCAAAGACGCCGAGGTATACAACACCTCCAAGCCAGACGATCACCATGCTGGGTCAGATAGCGAATCTGGTATGTTATGATATCAAGGAAGGAGTTCAATTCTATCAGCTCTACTAACTTTGGTTCGTCACGCAGGCCGTTTGCATGCTGCGAGCGATGCTAAACGTCAGATCGGCATCCTCAGTGCCTCTATGCTTATCTTCAACCGAGTGATTGGTACTGGGATCTTCGCCACTCCGTCATCTATTCTCGCTCTGACTGGTAGCACTGGCTTGTCTCTATTTATGTGGGTTGCCGGTGCTCTCATCGCCGCTGCTGGCACCGCCGTCTACCTCGAATTCGGCACGGCTCTGCCAAAGAACGGCGGCGAGAAGAACTACCTCGAGTACGTCTATCGAAAACCCAAGTTCCTCGTCACAGGAATGTATGCCGGATATGTCATTCTTCTGGGCTGGGCCTCTGGCAACTCGGTAGTCTTTGGCGAGTATATTCTACATGCTGCGCAGGTCGACGTCGACCGTTGGAACCAGCGAGGCGTTGGCTTGGCCTGTATTACTGCTGCTTTCATTATTCACGGCACTGCTCTGAAGTGGGGGATCAGGCTCCAAAATCTTCTCGGTATCATCAAGATCGTTATCGTTATCATCATCATCCTTGGAGGATTCATCGCCCTTGGTGGACACCTCAAGATCGATGAGAAGCCAAATAACTTCCACAATGCATTCGAAGGCACCACCGGCAGCGCATATGGCGTTGTCACCGCCCTTTATAACGTCATCTGGAGCTTCATCGGTTACTCCAACGCCAACTATGCTCTGAGCGAGACCAAGAATCCAGTCCGTACTCTCAAGATCGCTGCCCCCATTGCCATTACAAGCGTCTCGATCCTCTATATGCTCGTCAACATTGCCTATTTCGCCGCAGTACCCAAGGCTGAGATCCTGGCCTCGAAGCGTCTTGTGGCTGCGTCCTTGTTCCGAAACGTGTTTGGCAATACTGCCGAGCGCGCACTGTCTGTCTTTGTCGCTCTGTCTGCGTTCGGCAACGTCCTCAGCGTCATCTTTTCCCAGGGCCGTCTTGTGCAAGAGCTTGGCCGTGAGGGCATTTTGCCGTTTTCTCGCTTCTGGGCCAGCAACCGGCCTTTCAATGCACCCCTTGCCGGATTGTTTGAACACTGGCTTATTTGTGTCATTGTCATTCTTGCTCCTCCCCCAGGAGATGCTTACAACTTCATTCTCAAGTAAGTTTGCCTCTCTATCCTTGATATATACTAGTAGATGCGCGTATACTAATCTGTATAGTCTGATTTCTTATCCCCTTGCAATCGTCAATGCTTTCGTCGCCGCTGGACTCGTGCACCTGTACCTCAACCGCGACGCCTGGAACTGGAACCCACCGATCAAGGCTACTTTGCCTGTCGCCGTGTTCTTTATGCTCAGCAATATTTATCTTGTAGTCGCACCTTTTGTCCCCCCTGAGCATGGTCAGAACATCTACGAGAGCCTCCCTTACTGGATCCACTGCGTTGTCGGTTTCGGCATTCTTGCCGCCGGTGGAGTGTATTGGCTCCTTTGGGCCAAGATTCTTCCCAAGCTTGGCCATTATGAGCTCGCTCAAGAGGTTGTTGTAGATGACATTGACGGTTGGGAGAACCACGTGTTTGTCAGGAAGCCACTGCTTCAGAATTAAGACTTTGCTTGTGTAGATTTACCTAATTATTTTTTAAGTATACTAATTTCGTTAATT